TTAAATAGATATTTTTTTTAATATTATTTTTTTATTTATTTTTTTAATATATAAATTCCGCGGGCCTGCGGATGGCGAGCATGAGTGGCTCGCCGCCCGACCATAACCAGACCGAGCGTACGGTGCGTCGCGTTCCGCGCGCGCCTCAAAGAGCCATCCGACCACAACAGATGGGGCCCAATAGGGCTGATGCCAATACGGAGCGGCGGAAAACTTAACAGGTTACCGGGACTCCGAAGTGTACGAGTAGGAACGGGGTGGTTTTTAGTCAGTAAGTGTCTGACACTACAGGCGGCAGAAGCCATACGATGATTATCCCCCTTAAAAAAAATGGGGGTACCGGTAACTGACGTTAGCTGACAATTTGCCTTCAACTTAAATATCTCTACCATATTTCTGTTGTGAGAACTTTGTCAAACGGACCAAAATTGTAGGTAAAACCGAATTATACTAAAATATTTAATTTAAATTCTAAGTTACATTTGTCATGTAACGAAACCCGCCATCTTAGCCGCATACTAACGTCCTACCTTAAGCATAAACCTCGCATTTGAAAAATTCAATCATATCTCAGGGATGCACTTCGGTATGCTTTCTTAAATTCTCGTATATTAAAGTTTTCCGATTTGCCATACCGTAATATCCGGAGCGAGGGAATCTGGTACTACGTAATATTGTAGATAGTAATATTATCATAAGTTTAAAATTGTTTATCTATTGGTTGCTCCTACTTAGATTATGCTTTACCTTGACTAATCTTCTTACTCATGCGAGTTATGAGTAAAACTTGTTACATATTATGAATATAAATGAAAGATTTGATTATTTTTTTGTATGTAATAAAGTCCGTAACTTCTGTATTATAAAGGAAAAAATAATCACGAATGCAACTATTTTATCCCGATATTCGTACAGAATTAGAACTGAAAAAAATTGCGGGTTAAACCATTGGCTTAAAGTTATTATGAAATAAATCATAGTATAGACTTACCTCATTCTGTGCACACATTGTGAATATTTCACGATGCATTTGTGGGATCCATTGCCTCTGGGCATCGTTATCCACCAGTAATAAATCGCAAATGGATTTATTAAGAGTTCATCGGATTATTGTATCGTTATTGCATTTTATACTTTTACTTGTAGTCTTGTAGTTTTGGTGTAGTTATTAGGTTTAATCTAATTGTTAATTTCTTATTAATTATAATAACAAGTTATAAGAAGTAGAATTTGAATTATTTCTTATTTCTAATCAATATTAGATGAAGACATGCATTTGGTTTATTTTAATAGTTTTGTAATAAAGTGTGGCTTAAACTGTCAAACACCAAGCGGTCACCGGTGACCGCAACCTATTGTTCTATAATTGTGTCTATAATGACGGTACTCGACGAGTTAATTGTAATTTACGTTGTGAGTAAAACACTATTAAATTTATTAACTACATACGACATTATTCACCACTTTAAAATTCCAGACAATCCCCAGACGGATTTCCCACCCATCAATTCCACCATGTATTTTCAACACGCGATTTTGCTAACTCGCTCTATCGTTGCAAAGCTGGTTGACTGTAGATTTAAGCTGTGCATAGAGAGGGCTCTTGAGCGAAGTGTCACTCCACAAACATGGCCTACTTCGTACCGAGTCATGTTACATGCCATTGTGCTGTGACGTCACGCGATAGACTGGTGGAAGTATATAGGAGCTGGAAAAATCACATTAAGTTCATTATTTGTTGATTTCTAATGAATTCTCTTAGATTAGATTATAATAATAATAATAAACACTTTGTTGTACACCACTTACGAAAGACACGAACAAGAAAATAGTAGGTAGGTAAAAATTAGTTTTGGCATGTTGTACAATGGGCGGCCTTATCGCTTACAGCAATCTCTTCCAGGCAGCCTTAGGATGGAATAATAACCGTGAGAGCAGATAACATGTGGGATAGATTATGTATTTAAGGATATTGTAGTGGTAGGGGAAAGTCCCGTAACGCCGGACAGCACCTAACGCCGGACACTTGTATTATCTTGATAAGTGATAACACAAACGATTCAATTTTCAATAAAAATCTTAGGTGTCTGCCACTGCAAGACTTCCCCCTAAAAATTTAATCGCTTGCGTTATTAGTCCGGCGTTAAGGGGCAAGTCCCCTATTAGGTATGGAAATAGACTCGTCTCCTTTTAGATTTAGCTACATTACATTTATTAATATTAAAGGGTTTTATATGAAAATCTATCCTTTTACATAAACCTTACCTTGTTAGAAATGCCATAAAAGCGAAAATCATATTGCTGTCCAACTTACTTGAGACTAAAGAAAAATACGAAGAAAATAAGTTTATAAGCTAAATGCTACTTTTGAGCGCAGTTTTACCTTTTTTTGCCTTTTTTCAGCAAAAAGGTGTGATGTTAGGTTACCAAGTTATCAGGTAAAGGCCATACAGAAACTTTATTAAAGTACATACCTCAGGAGAATCTAATTTGCGACAAATTGCGAAAACAGCCCAAACTCCCATACTAATTTCCCATTTTTATTAACCTTGATTATCCCGAAGTTCCCCAAAACGATCCCTAAATCCCTAAGCAGATCCTTATTTCCCAATCTTCAAAATGGGAGGCAATTACTAGCAAATAAAAAGAAATATAAGGTACATCGAAGTAGAAGGTTCAGTAAAACCTTAATAATATACCTACCCTGTGGGCCGATTGGATTTTCTTCCTCAAAATTTATTGTGCTCCCTCGGTAAAATATGATAGGGATCCCCAATTAATTGTATGTAACTTAATTAATTACGATTATTAAGCCCTAAGTTAAGAGGTCTTGGTGCGATACCGTGTAAGAAATATGTAACCGTTTTGTTGGAAGAAATTATGTTCTCTGAGATTTTTTATAAGGTTATTTTTTATATCTATTATCAGGTTTTGCGTTTTATTATACATTAAGTAATTTGTAGTGCTAAGTATAATAGGTTCGAGTATAACCTGGTCTATTGTACCAACGCACTATAGTGGAAAATGTGTAGGATACTATGTAGGTATATTTATCTAAGTATGGCCCTTTAGGCTATCTAGATTTATTTTTAGCCTAACAAAGTATAGGTCTATTAATATACAGTCACTTGAGTTAAACATTTGTGTAGTTCATAAAAACCAAAATAAAGAAAGAAAGAAAGAAAAGCTTTACTTCACACTCTAAAAACAGGTGACACGTACAGATTTTACACATAAGTTTATATACATCTACTAATGTCCCAAGTCTGCGGTGAAATGGGACCAGTTCAGCATGTGCAAGACAGGGCCTCGCGCTGGTATTCAACTGGCCCCTTAAGTGACTCGCAAATCGAAAATCGCAAAGAACTCTAAAATAAAAAATTACTTGGCTTAACACCTAGTAACGATAGTAAAGACATGGAGAGGGAACGTAGGGCGCTGTGAGTCAGAAGCAATATGCTGATCCGCAGGTTTGCAAAGTGTTCTTATGATGTGAAGGCTACACTTATTAGGGCATATTGTCAATCTTTTTATACCTGCAGCCTATGGGTCGACTACACGCAGAGGGCTTACAGCGCCTTACGAATCCAATATAATAACGCGTACAGGGCACTGTTGAGGCTGCCTCGACACTGTAGCGCATCGAGGATGTTCGCTGATGCACGCATAGATGATTTCTATGCAATCATAAGAAATCGTGTTGCACCCCTGATGCAGCGGGTGCGGGGCAACGCCAATAGTCTTTTGATGACCGTGGTGGATTGGACTGATGGCCTTATGTTAAAACACTGGACGGAGACGCAAGTGTTGCCTACAAACCGTGCCCAGAAGTAGTGAAAGTCGTTTGTATTGTTACTGTATTATTATCATTTTTATATTTGTCTTTATAAAGATATGTGTATTATCAAACAAACCTCTCGCATTATATCGTTTCTTAAAACACATATTATTATGTATGACAAATTATTTTAATTTTATATGATGAGGTTTGATGTACTAATACAATATACAATAATACATAATAAATTATAAGTTGTGTATGTCTTTACTAACCATATGGATTGTATTATCTGAATAAATAAATTGATTAATTGATTAACAAGATTTTATGTTTGTCAATTTTCAACCACTATTTCCACAAAATGATTTATCTTTAAATTTAGATACATGTTATTTTAATACTGTAGTTAATATGAATATAGCTGCCTCGAATGTTCTAAGCTATTTTGATCAAAGTCTGAATTTATTCGAATTTTTCATTACAAGGGGCAAATCGAATTCTTTGGGTAAAGGTATCTTTTCTCTTACGCAGTTCAGGCCTCGAGTAGGTTGCTTTATTATTAGCTCGTAAAATAATGTTTCTAAAAGCTAATATCTATCTTTGCTTTCATCTGAATTCTTCGGTAATATAAAAGACTTCATATAAAGTCTACATACATAAACATGAATGTGTGCGTGCGCTAGTTACTTCACATGACTTCGGTTATTTATTCGTGTAGAAGTTGTCAATCAATCAATGTTACCCCTTACATTTCACTTTATTATCTATGAGTGTAAACTGTCGCGGAGAACCTAACGGGTTACCGGGGCTCCGGCTCGACGTGCAGGAGATGGAACGGCGTGGTTTTTAGTCAGTAAGAGCCTCACCCAGACGGGAGCAGTCATTCAATGATTTTCCCTCCACAAAAAAAAGTTCAAGGACATGTTATGATCATCACCATACAAGTAATAAAGCTAAATAAAACAAAACAACGATGTTAATGGGAGCGCTGAAAACTAACATGTTTTGCAACGTTGATCACTATTGTTATGACATTCATTTTTAAATAATTTTATAATTAACTAATAGCTACTATATTTTTTGAAATCTCCCAGTTATGATCTGTGATTGGTTTATCAATAGATACTCACAGTTTTGGAATGCGAGTACTTTCTAACGGGTTCATAATTATCTAAACTTAAAACTTAATTATTTAATTCAAAATTTGTTTTGTCCACAGAATAATGTCCCTGGTTCCGCCAGGGGGTGCGGACTCCCCCAGCCCACGGCGGGCAGTGAGCCCACTGCTGGAGATGCGCAGGCCACATTGCACTCTGGCCTGCGACTACTGCGCCGCCATACTGGAGGACAAGTTCAAACGTAAGTTAATTATGGAATTTTAATATGAATGTCTAGTAGTTAAATACATTCGGCGTTTGATAGTACTTAATCGTAAGTTCGAATGTCGATTCTACACTCAATTCCTTATTCATAAAGTACTATTAAGCCAGAACATGAAATAAAGCATTAACTGAAAAACTTTTACAGTATGTGGGTTTTTCTCCAAATAACTTTTAACTTTATTCAACAAATCATTATCATTTCGCGTTGCTTTGCAATAACTTACCTACATATATTACGCGGCATCTATATTTATATTAGATTGCTTGAGAGCGGTAACACTGCTCAATTTCTTGCAACCAAATTTTGTGTTTTAATCAGCAGAATTGTTAACTTTGGGTTTAGGATAATGATGCCGTTAATTCTTTTGCGATTTTCTTTATAGAATCAATGTAAGGTAATTGTTCTTTCTTGTGATTAATAGACTGATCATAAGTGTCAATATTGTCGACTTTTATAATATGTCACATAATTATATTATCTTGGTACTTAGACGGATGCATTGTTCTCATATTATATACGTACAATATTGGAATATGTATCAGAGACAATGTAGAACATACTTTTTTTAAAAAGGTAACGAATGGAGTTTCTTGCTCGTTCTTCTCCAATCGAATTTACATTTTGGAATGAGCACCTAGCTGTGCTGACGGACTGACTGATAGATTAATATTTATTTTGTATTTCTTCTAAAGTTCCAAATTATGGTTTAATTAAAATAAACGGTTTGACTTTGACTTTGATGTGTTGAAAACAACCATGACATCTGCATCACTAAAAATTGGATTACAGTAATAAAATAATTTACCTATAAAAATCCCTTTTAAAATATTTTACAGCATATTATTATTTACCTTACAGGCTTTCATAGCTGTATTATACAGATATACGCAAGTACTTTCCTATGATAAACTCGGGTACCACAACACATTTTCCCCATACATTTTGCCGTAACCTTCCATGAAGTTTCGTTACTTTTTCGAATAGCTTTCGAAATCCACTATAAAATAGAGTCAGGTGCTGGCACCATAGAAAAAAAAAAAAAAACGGTTTTATTTCGATCGTTGCCAAAACGGATTGGCGTTGCAACGTTGCTTTTATTTTTATATTTTCGATGCGTCGATATTTTTGGAGCCGTATTTTTTACCGTGCCTTTTTTGGATGAAAATAACGATGCAGGTCCTCTTTGTTTATATGAGTTTTTTGAACTACAAGAGATAATTGGAAACGTAGGAACTTTAATGTTAGAAAACAAATATTTTACACACCGTTTAAAGTTCAGTGTTCGGGTGTTTTCATTGATGTATCTACTGTAGATCCTGGCTTACAGGAGTTGCAGCCGTTTTGGGAGGTTGTGGCGGGATTGCCCCATTAAAAAAGTACCTTTTAAATCGAAAGGATACATTAAATTCACACAAGTGTGGGAGTGCCATGCTTCGGCACGAATAGGCCGGCTCGAACGGAAAGATACGGCCTCCCAGAAGATCTACGTAAAACAACGCTTTCGTAGTGTTTTCTCGAATGAGTGACATTGCTGGAGGCCTAATTACCCTCCTTCCTAGTCTACCTAATCCCCAAATGCCCCACAATCCTCAAATTCCCAATTCCTTAAAGGCCGGTAACGCACTTGTAACGCCTCTGGTGTTATCTATGGGTAGGTATCCATGGGCAGCGCCACTTGCTTACCATCAGGTGATCCGTCTGCTAGTTTACCGGCTAATCCCATAAAAAACCTTAAGTTTCAATAGTTGTAATTTTTTTGCCCAATTACCTCTTCTCTCCTTTCCCAATTCCCGAATCCCCAACAATCCTCAAATCCCTAATCCCAAAAGGCCGGTAATTCACTTGTCCGGTAACGCCTCTGGTGTTCGTGTCCATGGGCGACGCCGATTGCTTACCATCAGGTGGTCCGTCTGCTCGTTTACCAGCTTATACTATAAAAAAGAAGTAAAAAACACCACACTCCCTAATAAAGACTAGACTCTGCAATAATAGGGCTTCTTTCAAGGTTTCTCCCCATCTTTAGAAAGATTGTTTCAACGCATATGTGGCAAGAGAATGAGTCATCAATGCATATAATGCGTTGATGTTGACGTCTTGTAAATTAACATATAAATGGCTTCATCTTGCCTTGACTTTGTAAGGAGAATCTTGGAGAATGTTCCACGCCATTGAGATGCCCATTACTTTTCATGGCTTGCTAGTTCGATTACATTTGTTACAGTGTTTGCAAATAAAAACCTTGTAATCTCATAGGTTTTGAAGCTATGGCAAGGTGATTAATTGTTCTGTAGTTCAATCAGATTTAAAGCAAAGAGATATTATAAGGTTTAGTGTTTGGGAATCTGGACTTTGCTCTAGGCTAGGTCTATCAATGAGTGTCTTATATTTAATATACATAATATTAAGATGAATGGTTAATTTTTTTGCTAAGCGCATATTTCGACAATTGCTATATATTGCTGTTGTGTTTGTTATTGTTAGGATAAGCTTCTTATGATTTTTCAAAGTTCGCAGGTTACGTAAGATTGATATAAAATTAAATACCTAAGTAGGGAAAATACCTAGTTTCTTGTTAATTATAGGGCTAAAAGCAGTTCATTGTCAATCCTATTGTTCTGAACAATCTCGAACAATTTCTAATTATTGTTTTCTGTACATCAGGTAGTGCCGACATGCGCAACAGAGGTACATCACCTCTGTCAGCATCACCACGCCAGTCCCTCACTGGGGAACCTCCTTGGACACTCCCAGACGACGACCGACCTGACTTCTCAGCCCTCAAGGAAAATATACAAAGGATCAACAAGTAAGAACATTAAATAAATGCCATAGGTGGTTCTAATTATGTGATCACTAGCTACTTCCGCGCGGTTTCACACGCTCTGCACAGCTCCTAGGTCGTAGCGTGATATTTTATAGCCTATAGCCATTCACAATAAATGCGCTATCCAACAAAAAAGAATTATTCAAATCAGACTTATAGTTACGGAGATTAGCGCGTTCAAACAAACAAACAAAAAAAAAACAAACTCTTTCGCTTTATATAATAGTATAACAGTATAAGATATAAGATTATATTCGAGTAATGTTTGTTATTTTCAAAATAAATTATCACTCTAACTGACTGCACAGTTGGTGCGGTGAATAGGCAACTGCCTTGCAACGTGTCACGGGTTCGACCCCTACACGGAACAACACTTCATGTGATACACAAATTGTTGTCCCGGGTTTGGGTAGTTTATGTTAACTTGTATGTTTGTGAACGCGTCCACGACACAGAAGAAAATTCTAGTGTGGATTCAATTTATTAAAAATACATATGACCACGCTCGCCCCTTATTACAGAGGACACCACAAATATCTAAAAGTACATGTCAAATTTTATGAGCTTCTCTATCCTTCGGGGAATAAATTCCAACATGATATATAACTCTAGACTATAATTCAGTTACTCCTCTGTGGCAGCATGTACCACATTGTTCAGACACTTGCATATTTAATGATATAGAATGTCATATATTATGCAAGAAACTTGAGCATCACTTAAGCAACAGACGTTATTTGTGAAATGGACTTGCTAGATGATGCTTGGATACTCAAAATTTTAGTATGGGCACAAGAAAATGTTACGTTTTTGGTATTCCACACACGATTTTATGAAACATGGTGGTACCGATTGAAATACAGATGGACCTAAGAAAATAATAGTCTTTGTATTAAAATGAATGGAGGGTCTACAATCCTTACTATTATAAATGGGAAAGTGAGTTTGTTTGTTTGTTCCGACTTCACGCCGTAACTACTAAACCGATTGCATTGAATTTTTGCAGACGTAAAGTTAGTAGTCTGGATTAAATAATAGGGTACTTTTTATCCCGAAAAAATTCGATATTCCCGAGGGAAAACAAAAGTATTGGTATAGATGGCGCTGTATGTATTGGTATATGTCACATAGACTACTTTTTATCCTTTTGAGACGCGTGCGAAGCCGCGGGTAAAAGCAAGTTATAACTATAATAATATCATTTCACTATTGGCTATATGCGCGACGGTGGCGACGCGTAGCGTTTACAACATTTGCAGAAGCTGTAAAATATTCAAACATTATAATTTTCTTTGCAAATATAAATAAAATCAAAGATTAAAATAGTATTGTTGACATTATTTAAGTGCAAATTATTTATTTAATAGTTTTACTGTAAAATTAATATAATAATAAAAACCGGGTTTGCATTATCCATATTTGTTTCCAATTTCTGCCGTGTTGTGCACTGCGGTCGTTATCTGTCCGTGACTACTCGCTATGCACATAGCCAATACGCTTTATGCATACTGTAGAGATAAAATCATATCAGATTGTGTACCTATGTGTATTCTAAAAACATATAATATCGAAAGCAATATATAAAGACGCAACAATAAGCTTAAACTGATATTACCAGCGCATAATGCCGCTACGGGCAGGCTCAAGCGGTTGATTGAATTGCCGGCCGCTGATTGGCTGCACTCGTGCTACAGATACTGCACCCCCGTCGAGCGTAACATTATGTAACAATGCTTTGATATTTTAGTTGAGTAAAAAGGGCTCTCAATAATGTTATGCCATTTAATCCCGAAAGCAAAAGTGAAATTACAGTAGGTGTCCTAAATTCATATAATTTTTTACCAGGTTTGTTTTGAACCTATTGTAATATGTAAAGTGTGGGAGAGCCATTTTCGGTACGAATGGGTCGGCTCGACCGCAGTGATACTATGGCCTCACGAGAAAACTGACGTATTAGTGTGTTTTGTTGTGTGAGTGAGGTTACCGAAGGCCCAATTAAACCTTCCGGCTTCCCTAATCTCCCCAATCCCTGATTCCCCAACAATCCTCAAATTCCTAATGCCTAAAAGGTCGATAACGCACTTGTAACATGTCTGGTGTTCCGGGTGTCAATGAGCTACGTCGATTGCTTACCATCAGGTAATCCGCCTGCTCGTTTACCGACATTTCCCACAAAAAAATAGGGGTTAAGCCTAATTTTGTCTTATAACTTTCGTGAGACATTTACAATAAATAATTATGTTTTCGGCTTACTAACGTAAATTATTTGACGAGGAACTCGACAAGTTTCGAACCATGCTAGAGGCTCATATTCATGAGCAGCATTTCGCGACCCACGACGCAGCGACTGTCACGCTGCTTAAGGGTTAAGTCTATTTTCCAATATCGAAAACAAGTAATAACTATAAGTACAAGTACTCGAAGATCTAGTAATTTTGAAATGTCTGTCCATGCACCAAAATGAAGTTTACAATGAAGATTAATGTTAAAGAACTGGTTAAAAATGATCTTATGTATCTCCTAAGCCAACAAATTGTCTTTAAGATCGTTCATATTTTATTGAGAATAGGGTAGATGCCTAATTTTTATTTTAATATTCGTCTGGTAGATCATTTTAAATCTTTAGACACGTATTTTTTTTATTTTCTTACAGAAACGAATACTTTCGGCGATATATTGATTTGAAATGTCGCGTGACGTCACTTCTATGTACATTTTATACGTAGAAATGACGTTTTAGCCCCCAATCCTAAACTTTGATTCGTTTTATCTAAGTATTATTTTATTATACGACGAAATAAAAAATACGTGTCTAATATTTTTTCATTACCTAACTTACGGACTAATTATATATTTTATTTTCATACCCTGTCTTCATCTCAATTAAATGAGTACCCGTTTAGTGTCTATTAAATAAATAATACAGCACGCAATATGATCGGGCTGGGTAGTGTAATACCATTATTTATGACCCACGTCCCAATGTGGTCCCTAAGGTATAATTACCAGGGAATTTGTCAAGACATAGTAAACGGTACTGAGCAGCAAATAACAATTTCTCAGTAAGAGCCGACTGAAGCATCCTTTGGGATTGATCCTTATATTAGTTATAGTAAAAACGTATTTAAGCCGATCTTGACAAGACTTAATAACTAAGTAGGATATGTAATGGAGGAGCCCGGAATTCCTGATCATTGATTGATGTGATGTTTCTGATTGCTATAATACTTTATTATTATACTAGGATATTAAGGGTGGGAGATTCGGTCCAGTTTAGTCTATAATAATATCTTATCTTATACATATTATTATAATAAAATCGTAGGAAAGTGAAAACTGTACATTAAATATATCTTTTATACATATAATGCTTTGGGCGTGATCAACGATCGATACCGACGACAAAAATATTGTTTACAGAATTTTTGTCCGTATGTATGTATGTCCGGGATTAACTCAAAAACTGTTGAATTGATTAACTTCAAATTTTGCATGAATATTACTAACAGGTCTGTTCAATACAATATTATAACGCTATAACCAACGGGGGAGGAGCTGTAAATCACTATTCCACGCGGACGAAGTCGCGGGCACAGCCTGTATATAATAAAAGAAAATACAACTATTATCGCGAGTTATCGATTCCAAGACATTTATTTTACCTGTTATAGCATAATCATTAAGTCACAAAAAGGAACATATTAGACACACACTTACCGTAAAACTTTACATTAAAAAAATAGTAATTCTATGTTTTTCTTTAACAGGGACTGCGAAACTTCAACACGTTTGGACATGTTGCTGACACAGGTGGAACAGTACGCGAATAACCTGGAGGCTCTCGTGGAGGAGAGGACTTCAGACTACTTGGAGGAGAAGAGGAAGTGCGAGGAACTGCTTTACCAGCTTCTACCAAAGTAAGATATTACTTTAGTCTGAAAGACATATTATCAGAATAGATAAATTGGTACTCTATTTATTGAATGAAAATAAAATATAATGGACACAATCGTAGTTTTCATGTATAAAGCACAAGCGGATTATGGATAATGCTTAGGTCAAAGCTTAGAGTATAACCTCAAAGATAAAATTCAGTCGAAATCAAAATTAAATATGACAAATAAAGGATGTCGATTATGTTGATTTTCTTGTATAAAAGAAGAAAGAAAGAAAAAACTTTATTTCACGCCAAAAACAATGACTAAAAATCACCCCGTTTAAGGCAGAGGTGTATGTACATTATGCCACTGTACAATGTAACACCCCTTTTTCACTATTTATGTTATGAGTCCCATGTAATAGGGGGTGAGCCTCTTGCCGTATACCGGGCACAATTCCAGACTCCGTGCTACTACTGTGAATTTATAAAATACACATTAGTACTTTGCCCGACCCGGGAATCGAACCCGAGACCCCTTGCCCGTCATACTTACGACTACTCGGCCAACGAGACTGAAACATACCCTTACACAATAATTATGCAAAGCTAACACACAAAGGTATTAAACACACGCTACCGAAGCTCTGATCAATTGTTTACCTAGCAATAATTATATTGGCGCTAACACAAGTGTATACTGGAGGCTGTAGCATTGTTAATCAACAAATATATTAATTAGTATTCCAAGGTCTTTGATGGTCTAATTATTTATTGATTATTTGCATTGTTGGTACCATGGTTATTGTTAGAATTTATCATAGCTGATGCAGTTATGAATGGAATATTACGTAAATAACATTTGGATTGATTGAAGGACATTCGCTGTCATTTTTGTATGACAGTAGAATGAAAATAAGTCGTAAAATGTAACAAGTATGGGTTGATTGTGTTTTATTAGAGTTTTGTCAGTCTTTGAAACTAATTGTCTGTCTAGGTGAAATTTGGACAGGCGACGAGTAGGAGAGGGTTGTTACAGGTAAAATGCATACCTGTTCCATCTGTTCCTGTTCGACAGAAATAACAGTTCCAAATACCTGTTACGAAATAATAACCTGTTATATTATACTATGTGTTTAGTTTCCATGTGTGTCCACTTTCCACTCGAGTGTAGTCTGTTTATAATATTTATTGGTTCATACTATTTTTTAATAACAATATTCAAAACATTCGTTGTGCGAACAGAAATACCCTTTCATTTTACTCCCAGAATAGTAATATTGTTACAATTCTAGAATATTAGGTCGGAATATCGCTAGAGATTGCGGTCAGCTGCTAGTTCAATTGTATTCCAGTGTTAGTCTCGGTTGTCCTGTAACGCCAATTAGTGGTATGTATCGATTTCTAGCGTTAAACTGATGAAGTCCGTTGTGCAATATTGTATATTGGTTTGAGGAAATCTGAGTTTGTGGATCAGGATGTGTTTGGTTTGATAAAGTTATTAGCACAAGTATAAATGAAGGTTTCTTATAAAATATTACAGAATATTTTACGATTTGCTTTTTTAAACTGTCAATCACCAAGCGGACACCGGTGACCGCAACCTATTGTTCTATAATTGTGTCTATAATGACGGTACTCGACGAGTTAAAAGATATCTGAGATTAAAATCATTTAAGTATTTGGTGAGACGCGGTGGAGACAAACTACTCAAAAAGTTATAAAACTGTTTAATATATCATGTATCGGGTTGCGATGTAGATGATAATCTGACGTCATTAGAATTCAAGTATGATCACGGTGGTTCAGCTTTTTATTTTTTTAACAATGATTTTATTTCATTCCTTAGACTACGATCAACTGGCTTATACGTTGGCGACTGGGCTTCACCCAGTTGTACAGTCTCTTTTTGGGCCTTTAGACTTATGTAATTCATTCTGTCTCCTGCGGTAATTCGCCGACTGAAATGGAACTATACTACTATTTTTCTTCTCCTCTTATAATATTTTCTGATTCACTTCGTTGCGAGAACCAAGACAGTTATTCATGTCCCTGGGACGCGCCGGACTCTAGTGTTCCGGTGTTTTCATGGTTGTATCTACTGTAGAACATGGCTTATAGGAGTTGTGACGGTTTTAGAAGGTTGTAGCGGGCTTGTCCCAAAAAACAGAATGGCCTATAAACCTTAATAACTTTTAACTTTCTCCCCAGGTCAGTAGCCTCCCAGCTGATAATGGGCCAGCCAGTCATGGCGGAGACCTACGACCAAGTGACGATCTACTTCAGTGACATCATTGGCTTCACCCAGCTGTCTGCAGAGTCCACGCCGCTGGAGGTGGTGGACCTGCTCAATGATCTGTACACGAGCTTCGATTCCATCATTGAAAACTTCGATGTATACAAGGTAAGACCACATTATATATCATTATATTTTGTTTGTTTAGGCATAGGAGGCTGGTGATACTTAAAGTACTTATAACTTCTTCTGATATCCCTGACCAGTGCTGAAGGCTTATCATCAAGTTACCTATTTGCTGTGTTTGCTCATTTGCAAATCTCAGAAAACACCCACTTTTTATGACCTATACGTTCATAACGAGTTCTATATAATAGCAGTAAATCTGTTGCTATAAACCGTATGTTGTGATTACTGAAAATTTTCAAGAAAAACCAACTATACTTTGCGCTTCACCGCAATTGAATTCAAGACCTTTTGATAGCAGTTACGTTGTTATGGCTACTCGATCAACGAGGCAGTTAAGGTAAGGCTAAGTTTGTTTTATTCAGAAACTTCTAGTGTGGTTATAATAATAAACTTTGGTTATTAATATTCAATGAGGTGTTGGGCATACATTGCTGTTGTTGTTGTTCTGTTACTCTGTGATTATAGCACCTTAACATAACGATAACGATTACTTTTGTAGATAAACGTACCATCAAGGTAAAACACGACATTTTACTTTTATACAGTGAAAAGGTACCTTTGTTAGGACGCGATTTTATTGTCATGAGTTTGAAGTAAAACTGCTTTCCAAAAAATTTTAATCAAGTGAATAGGTTGCTTATGGGATGACGTGCTCCATCGTAGACCGCATCATCACTTACTACCAGGTGAGATAGTGGTTAAAGTTGGTCCATTAAGTATAAAAAAACTAATGAAATTCGTATGTTTTTAATCTAGTATCCCTACATTATTAAATCACAATACTCTTAAAGAAAAGAAAATAAAGATACTATAATATAGCGTTTTTAGAAAGTAAACATTAGCATCATAGTTTAAAGGTCAAAATGACTATCACAACTGAAGCTAAAATCAAGGAACACGATATCATTTCTCTCGAGTTATAACAATTTATAAAACAAGCGATGTAAAATCCATGTTTCCGTTCCATCACTGGCTCGTGGTTTTGTTACATTCTGCTACAAAAGTGGGACACAGTGATGTATCGCGTACAATGTAGTTAGCTATCGTTCATAGCTGTTTACTTTATTAGATTCAGCTGCGCGCTCGGTATAGTGTATCTTTCAAAATAATGCAATCTAGAATGAGAATGACGTTGCATTTTGGTTCATGGGTTCTTCTCATTACTTGATTGACAAGAATTTCCGAGTTCAATTTTCCAATTATGAGTTTTTCAGTCCAAAAAAATGTAACTTTGCTCGAAATCTGGTTCGTTTTCTCTAATGACACTTTTGACAAAAAAGTACATTTGACTAGACCAGGTCCATTGCCCTATTCCTTACTAGAATTAATGATTTTTTTTAAGCGGGGAAAATCATCGAATGAACTGCTCCCGCCTGGGTGAGGTGGAAGGGAGTGTCAGACTCTTACTGACTAAAAACCACCCCGTTCCTTCTCCTGCACGTCGAGCCGGAGCCCCGGTTACCCGTTAGGTTCTGTGCGATCTTAAGTTAATTTTGTGTCTTACCACTAACTTACTGTAAATGTCAATGAGACTGTAAATAACATTTTTTTAAAGAGTAACTATGGAGATTTTACCTCGTTCTTCTCCATTCAAAACTACACATTAGAACGAACGCATAGCTTCATTTACAGACATAAGGACGGATAATACAATTTTTGAAGTTTAAAAAGTGAGTTCAAGGAGTCATCAGACCATCACAGATGGGGCCTAATAGGGCTGATGCCGATACGGAGCCGCGGAGGACTTAACGGGTTGATTGGTCAGTAAGCGTCCGATACTCCCTCTCGCCTTATCCGGGCGGGAGAAGTTATTGGATGATTATTCCGGCACAAAAAAAACTAAATAAATAGAAAAGTTTGTAAAAGGAATAACTTAAGTTTTTTGGTAACAAATAACTACCAATCCTATACTGACAAGTAAGGTAGATAATCAATGAATTATAAGGTACCGACCTATTTTACTTCAAACCGAACTATCATACAAAATTAATTAATGTCCGTAAATAGCCTTAGTAAGTAATTTATAGAGATGACATTTTAGACGCCCCCTACACTATGGCATTTAAGCTCTGCAGACGAAGGTCTTTGTTATTTAAATTATGTATTGAGAATTGAATTTAAATTTAATATAGAACATTACGCATAAAGCTGAAAATATTGTTACAGTTACAGGCAAAAAACGTTGATTCCATTGTATTGAAGAGATTTTTGAGAATAAACAACAAAACTAAAAAAATAAAAATAAAATAATAACTATAAAAAGGAAAATGATGGTAATGATAATGAATAAATAAAATTGTGCAAATAAGGAGTTGGTAGATATGTATAATATGTATAATATAAACGAAAATCAATTGAAGCAATTGTGGTAATACTTTAATAATATGTTATGTAAAATCTTTGAATAATATAGTGTTTTTTATTAATTAATATAAATTGCAGCGCCCTTACAGGGTCATGTTGATACTGCTTAACCAAAATAATATGTATTACGTATAACACCTTGGTAACCACACATGAAGCAATAAAGACTTTGAATTTGAATTTGAATTTCTACAAAATGAATTTAAAAATTTAACCGATCCAGGAACTCATACTCTTACTACTTACGAAGATCGTTTATTCAAATTACACGATGCAGATTGATGACTGAAATTCACGGAAAACATGCTTTTTATCATTAAACTTTTTAATGGTAAAACATTTTTAATATTTTTATTGGTGCACAAGGTTTTACATAAAGTTACACAAAACCAATTATCATAGTCTCGCATCGAATGATCATTGCACATATTCCACGGTCAGTTCATACTGGAATTGCATAGCTTGATGCGTTCACGCACAGATACAATAGGGATGATGACAGGGTATGAAAATTAAAAATGTAATTAGTTCTTCAGTTAGGTAATTAAAAAATATTAGACACGTATTTTTTTATTTTGATGTATAATAAAATGATACTTAGATATAACGAATCAAAGTTTAGGAGTGGGGGCTTAAAACGTCATTTCTACGTATAAATTGTATTATTCAATACATTTAATTTAATATGAAGCTTTTAATTTATTTCATATGCTTATTCGGACATTCGTAAATGCAACTGCCGCACGCCGATTGAAGTTAGTATTATTATAAAAGCCAGTTATAATACACTGCTGAAGTATGGGCTTCTTTTACATAAGAGAATTTGCCATAATATCACGCTTTTTTTGAATAGGGAATAGGGAAAACGAATCAGTCCGCCTCACCTGTTAATTGAGCTGACTGTAAACCGACACATGCGTACTGCCTTCAGAACGGGTCCGCTCAAACTGTTGTGGTTCTTTCCTCAAAAGCCCACTACAGAAAGAACTGGCACGGTTCTCACACATAATCTGTTATACATATTGTCTGGACTTTAAAAGAGACAGACCTCTGAGTTTGTTTCGGCATTTCTTCTCAGAGTAGTCAGTTAGGAAATGTCGACCTCATCGTTCGCTTGATAAAATTGACGTGTAAAAGTGCTGCCTTGTAGCCTATTTGCAGAAATAAATTCACTCACTTGTTTCACTTGTTTCACTTGTTTCACTATCTAATGATTTTTCCTCGCTATCATGAGACGAGCCCCTCTCGTGTCAGACTCTTACTGACTAAAAACCAACCCGTTCAATCTCCCGCTACGAGCCGCAGCCCAGGCAAACTATTAGATCATCCGCAGCTCCAGGTCGGGTATTAGTCCTACTGGACCCCGTCTTTGGTGGTTTGATGGCTCTTTGAGGCGTGCGTGGAACTCGAAGCAGGGTGGCACGAGGTAATATTTGATTTGAAGAAAGCAGTTTAAATAGTTCAGAAATACCAAAGAGTATTAGTGCTCGGTCTCGATCTAACTTGTAGTCTCTTCCTAAGCCAACTGTTACGACTCCCACAGTAAGAGTGGGGTTGGTGTAAAAATGCAAGTAAGTTCCTTAAAAGATCTAAAAATATGTAATTGTTTTAACCATCTTTTTCATTGTCCTCTAGGTTGAGACAATAGGAGACGCATACATGGTGGTGTCAGGTCTACCGATGCGCAATGGTAACCGGCACGCGGCTGAGATCGCGCGCATGTCCCTCGCGCTTCTGAACGCTGTGCGCGTCAAGACAGTACCACATCGACCTGGAGAACGACTGCTGCTGAGGATTGGGATGCATACAGGTGAGGTACTGATTAGGTAAACATAAACGGATATATTTTTAATGATATAAAAGTACGACACGTGGTCTGCATCGTGTTATTTTTGCATCTCCATACTTCAGTGTGAAATAAATAAATTGTTAGTTAAATCATTCGAACACGGCATCTATAGTCATGATATCTTTTGGAACATGCTCGACTGTTTTCGAGCCACGCCGGGACTCAAATCGATGTGTGTAGCGGACGAAGTAGCAGACTCGTTTTCTCTCAATTACGTGAGACATACACTACTACACTGTAATACTATTTATAAATTAAAAGCTGTATATCCTAGGCAGAAAAGTAGATAAAAAAAATCAAAGAAGTAAGTATGCCAAAACTATAGACACCATGACTAACAAAAGCTTTCAGAACTAGATAACGCAGCCATATTGTTTATGAGTGACATTAAAACAAATGAAGACGACCAACTACCTACCAGAATATATACGACCTTGAAACTTGTAGAACTTTAGCATACAGTACATGATCAACAGTAAATCAATTTGAAATACATTAGTTAGTACTAGGGCTGTCAAGTCGTGAGAGTGACTAATGTATCAATGATTCAATTTTAAACAAACCGAACCTACGTACAAAACATATGTACATACGTACAGTCGCCAGCACATCGACCTATCCCTTTCAGTCAAAGTCCTATATTCGATTTTCGACCTTATCGTTTTGGTATAAAGTTGGAAATGCAATGAAAACAATTTAGAGAGTAGAGTAGAGTAAGTACATGTGCTAGTGATACTATGCAACATCCATTTTGATATAACGCCCACCATAGCACATCGATTAATTGTATCAAGTTAACTGAGGCGTAGGATAACTTTTTTGGGTTAAATTGCTGCATGTTAAATATGGCTCTTCCGAAGGTTTATCACAGTTCGATTCAGTTGTGTGGTATGGAAGAAACCTTTGTTTGGTAGTGGATGGAAGTTGATTGATGATTGTATTATATGCACTGATGACTCATTCTCTTGCCACATATGCGTTGAAACAATCTTTCTAAAGATGGGGAGAAACCTTGAAAGAAACCCTATTATTGCAGAGTCTAACCTTTACTAGGGAGTGTGGTGTTTTTAACTTCTTTTTTATAGTATAAGCCAGTAAACGAGCAGACGGACCACCTGATGGTAAGCAATCGGCGTCGCCCATGGACACCTGAAACAACAAAGGCGTTAACAGCCTTCTGGATTGAGGATTCGGGGATTGGGTAGACTGGGGACACGTCGGTTTTCTGTGAAACCGTGGTATCACTCCGGTCGCGCCGGCCCATAAAATATACATATCTCTTATCATCACGCCTTTTATCCCCGAAGAGGTTGGCAGAGGTATACCTCCGCCGTTATGTGTACATTGGCACAATTCCAGACTCCGTAAAACTACTGAGAATGTTTTTAAAACACCTAGCAATACTTTGCCCCACCTGGGAATCGAACCCGAGACCACTTGTTCCCATAATAATAATGCTCTTATAATATTAGGGTCGACTTCTATACAAATACACATTATTCTCTTGTGGTCTAGTACCGACACTTCTGTGGGTTGCGACGATGTTTGGTTTTATAAGATATTTTTTTATAATAACTATCGTAAGACATGTTGAATTAACTACTAGTCACCAGTTACCTACGTAAATATACCGAGAAAAGCTCTACTAGTCGCTCTACTCTAGAGTAGCACGCTTCTCATGAGGAAGAGTCCCTCTTTGACTCGAAACTAGTAACGTAGAGCTTTTATAAATGTATAAGATATCTGGTATGTAAAGTATTACTGGGTAAAAAAACTCAATAGTAGCACGGAGTCTGGAATTGTGCTTGGTATTACAGGGGACTCATAATCTAAATAGTGAAAAGTGGGTGTTACTTCTGTGTACCTCTGCTTACCCCTTCGGGGATAAAAGGCGCGATGTTATGTTATGTTGTCTGGTATGTACAGCTACATTTTTGGTTTCAATTATATTCAAAATCAAAATCTACAAACGTCAAAAAACGTTTTTAAAATCTTTAATTATTCTTGAAATAAATATGTTTGTCATAAATATTCTATAATCCCCTGTCCTTGAAAGTGAACTAGATGTTACATTATGTAGGTACGCTATCTGTCTAAATAAAACATTATTTTCTCTGAGCGTACGTCCAGACGTCGTAATGAATCTTCCTGTCAACTTTGTGCGCGAGGCATATCAATTACTAAGTATAATATAACAAGTAACTATGAAATGTTATGATACGAAATACACTTTCATATATTTTAATAGAGAAACTAGCTCACAAGAAACTAGGTATAAATGAGCATGTTAGTAATGTAGTGTGTCTACAAAATTTATATACATAATATCAAGTCTTGTATCCCCAAAAGGGTAGGCTGAGTTGCACATTACGGCACTTAATGCCACTGTACAATGTAACACTCACATTTCACTATTTATGTTATAAGTCTCATGTAATAGGAAGTGAGTCTATTGCCATACACCGCGCACATTTCTAAACTCCGTGCTACTACTGAGGTTTTTTTAAAAACCCAATAATACTTTGCCCAACCCGGGAATCGTCCCCGAGACCTCTTGTCCGGCAGTCGCACTTACGACCACTCGGCCAACGACTGCCTCGTTGGCTACATAATTACATAACTACATAATTTAACGTACAAACGTGGTTTCCAGGTCTAAATGTTAATTGAAATAAATGGTTTTAACTGTATTTATTTTTATTTATATATTGTTTTCTAATATCAAAGAGTAAGGTAAACTCTCTGACAGTTATTAAGTTTTCTAATAATACAATTATCTATACTAATATTATAAAGAGGAAAGATTTGTACCTATTTTTGTATGTTTGTAATGAATAGGCTCAAAAAGTACTGGGCCGATTTAAAAAATTCTTTCACGAATAGAATGCTACATTCTTCCAATTTGACATAGGCTATAATTCATTTTGAAAAATTAGGGATCCTTGGTAAAATTTGAACAATGTAACTGAAGGTGTAGAAAAAAGAGTCTTAAAATGTCTTTCGTCGAATGCGCTGCCAAAACTATTAGCGATAGAACAAAATAATGTACAACAATATTGAAGAACATCATAAAGTCTACAAAAGACTCCACAGTAACATATGACCAACTATTGTAGTTATGTCACTACAAGAATCCAAATTTCCAAAAATAAATAATTGTCTACCCCGTGCGAAGCCGGGACGGGCTGCTAGTATTCTAATATAATTCTATATTCTATAAATACTTATATAAATTACAAATTGTAACTTTGACTTTGACTTAACTACACATTTGTCAAAGCTTTGAACTAAATAATAAAACTCATGTTTTTAATAGAAAGCTATAAAGCCGCCCCAAATATGAATAGTTTTTCAAAATAAGAAATGTAATTTAAACCTTCGAAGTATGAAAATAAGGAATTATTTATTCCGACAGCAAGATGAATAAATAGTACCTATTTGGAAAGCGCGTATACTGTTAAATATATTATGTCTACTATCTACCTCTCAAGGTGAAACTGGCGTGATTTGATATTACATAGCATGAATATTTGATAGGAGTTCCCCTCAATATTTATCTTATACTTAAATATAGCTTCGGTGTGTTTTGTTGAGCGAAGCCGGGGCTTATAGGCTATGTAGAGTTCAATTTTACGTCTTCCTGGGGCCTTTTTGGGTACCGAGTATCAAACAGGCTCAAACGATACCTTACTTCTCTTAATATATGTGACATTATTTGTTGAAGGTTCTGAGTAACATATTATGTCACAATATTCCAATTATTATAAATATTATCACAATATTCCAATATCTCAAACACAAAAAAAAAATATATTTAGTATAATATATTATTTTAATTTCATTAATTTATTTGCATATATGATGTATATTGTTTGTTTTTAATAAATATTATTGTTCAGTGTAGAAATAATCTTTATAAAAGATGCACTCGGCCAACGCCATACTACTATTTATTGTGTTGTCCCATAGCTCGATAGATGGCGTTGGCCGATTTAAATTCAAGCTATGGTTTCGTTACCGGCAAAACATTAGGTTGTCTGCTTTGACGTAAATAAATTGTCTTGCTCTGAGGTACTTCGTATTATTTCAAGTAACAGGCTTCAAAGGACTTTCGGCCGAAACTGTTCAATTATTTCTAAAACAAGCAACTAATGTATTTTGGAAGTCGCCTCTTTAGCGTGGGCCTCCCCCAGCTTCCTCCAGGTATCTCTATCTCGAACTTTCCTTCTCCAGATATATGTAATTAGATATATGTCACATTAAATATTTAATACTTACTATCGACTTGTGTCGCAAATTTGCTTGCAGGATCCAAAGAAGAAAGGCAGCCTCGACTATAACTCGCTATCCTCATAACTATGTCCCTACACAAAAATCACATCATAGAGTAGCTTCCTTGAGTACCTATAAAAAGAAAAAACATACATTTAAGTTTACGGATTTAAAATATTAAGTTATTTATATTCATGTTTAATTTTACTGCAAAGTAAATAAAACATGACATAACGGGAAGGGAAGGGATAGTCAGAGGTGGACATTAAGGCACTTAATGCCACTGTACAATATAACACCCACTTTTCGCTATTTTTGTTATATGTCTCATGTTATAGGGGTGAGCCTATCGCCATATATCGGGCACAATTCCAGACTTCGTGCTATTAGTGGGAATTTAAAAAAAGCCTGTTATACTTTGCCCGACCTGAAGAATTGAAGCCGAGACCCTATGCCAGGCAGACGCACTTGCGAACATTAGGACAATGAGGCAATGAATAAAACACATAACTTTATAAATTGTTTCACGAGGCCAAGAGCGTTCAAAGGTCCAAATTACATTAAGGCCATCTTTTCAGACTACAAGGTCTATTGTGAGGTCTCTTTGTAACAGAATAATAATACCACCCATAATTTAACGTTCACAGGTGCAAAGTACATTCAACTTTTTGACAAAAACTTGCTAGCAGTAGTGACATAAAATATAATTCTACAAATTGTAGTTGATGTTTTCACAGAAGGTAGTGTTGTACAATTATTTAAGTTTCTATCTTTTGTTTCGTTATGTTTAAACCTTTTGTATTCTGATTTTTGAAATAACTCTACATAACTATTAGAAATAGATATTATTTTAAAACTTATGTTTAGCTTAAACATAATCTTTTTGTTTTTTTGAAAGTTAGTTGTGAAAACACGCCAGTGTCATTATGAAAAATAATTATATGGCTTTCAAAAGGTCTTCATCTTCATCTTCTTATTTCTTTTTTATTGTATTTTTTATGGGATATGTCGTTAAACAATCGGTTTATCGTTAAACAACCGATTACCCGATGGTAAGCAATCGGCGTCACCCATGGACACTTGGAACACCAGAGGTGTTACAAGACAAGAACACCTCTGGTGTTCCAAGTGCTATAACGGCCTTCTGGGGATTAGGAGTTTGAGGCTTGTTGGGGATTCAGGGGTTGGGAAAATTGGGATTGGTAATTGGGCCTCCAGTAACCTAACTCACACGACGATACACAACGCAAGCGTTGTTTCACGTCTGTTTTCTGTGAGGCCGTGGTGTCACTTTGGTCGAGTCGGCCCGTTCGTGCTGAAGCATGGCTCTCCCACACTATTTACGAGTCCAAATTGCAGCAGATAGAATGCCATTTTACTATACTTTCTGCAGTGTTAGTAACCATTTTTCTCTTTCCCAGGACCTTGCGTGGCAGGAGTAGTGGGTCTGAAAATGCCTCGGTACTGTCTCTTCGGAGACACAGTGAACACAGCATCACGGATGGAGTCACACGGAGAAGCTTTGAAGATTCATGTCAGCCCGAAGACCAAGGAGGTTCTGGATTTGTACGACTGCTTTGAACTGGAATGCCGAGGAGAAATCTCTATGAAGGTTGGTTCCTTTTCATCATTTTCGATTCCTAATAATATTTAAATCTATTTCTTTTTTCATGATACTAATAATAACTTCACTTTGCTAAAAAGACATGCAGGTGTATCAATTTTTGCCATTTATTTATGATTTTAGTATAATTGGTGACGTGACCCTTAGGTTCTGTATTTTGGTGTCAATTTCAGATTGTGCACTTGGTGAAAATATTCGAAAATTGCTCCCTTTTTTGAAGTTTCGGATATCAAAAATCTCTAATCGACTCGGGTCTAAAAACTCCTTGGTATGGCTGATTACTAGGCTGGATTTATTTAGTGAAGTAGTACATTTTTTTAATTTAAATACATGAAACTGTAGATAAATCAAATTGTAGGTACAAATACAAAGCCACATGAAAATAGAAATATAAGTTTCATGAGACATTGTAGTAAAACTGACATTATATTTCCGTATACTCTTTATCATGTCAAAGGCTAGCATAATAAACAGCGCCTTGTCTTGTTCTACTGTCGCCTTATGAATTTTCATAACAAATCGACTTCCAAGATTTAAAGGAAGATAGATGGATTCAGATCTAATAATGAATGAGAATATTTTCACTATGAATCTTTAAGGATTACGCCTGTTTGTAATTTATAATAATTTATCTATTTCTGTGTCAATAAATTATCCCAAATTCTTATTAACTCTATTAATTGGGTATGGACGGACTCAAAAGAGCTGTCATTGTAATTTTTTGTTTCATTTTGTTAACAGGGCAAAGGTAAAATGGTAACTTACTGGCTGATCGGAGAGAAAAAGCCGGAAAATCAAGAATGTTACTACACACAAACTAACCATGTTCAGAGCACTTTGGTGAACAATCCAAGCATCACGTTCCAGGGTCCAGACAGCCCTGCATCCCATTCTTTAACACAAAGTCACAGCCCTGAACAGAACATGCCAGAAACAAAAGAAAACCACCGACCATTGGAGATACAGAGCGAGAGAGATCGCATCAAACATGAAATAGCAACATTCGTTGCCAAAGACCTGATAAACAACATAGACATCGCCGTCAGAGAATTTCGGAAGTCTCAAAGCGCAAATTTTGTCACGACCACCAACAAACCGCTATGCAATGGAAACGAAAAGGGTTTGATAACTCCAACTTATGATAAGGAGCTGGTGATAAGCAAAGGTAAGGTACGAGATGTTGTAAACAGATTCAACAGCTGTGTGATCACCAACGATGGTGTCAACAAATGCACGAAAACGAAAATAAAAAATGAAGACTGAAATGACAAAGGAGCGCTTACTGACTTTCCCTGCCCGGTCTAAACAGATTTTTGTAACTTTAGAAACGTTTATAGGGAAACTAATTTCACAAATATAAATGTATTTTGTGCCAAGCACATAGGTTTCTTTGATAGTCTAGTCATTATTGTTTTGAGAAATTATTATATTAATAATATTTGAACTTGAAATCTTAAGAAAAACATGTTAAATGTAGTGGGTGACCAAATACCCTCCGAATTCTAGTTAAGTATTAATGGACGGTTTTAAATGTATCTCATAGATATTTATTATACGTGTACTAGATGTAAGAAAAAAATTGCAGAAGCGATTTCAAGAAAGATGTAGTGAGAATATTACGTGTGAATATTAAAAAAGTAACTATTATTGTATTATACACTTGGACCCTGTAGTGTTTTTACTGACCTTTTATACTTGCGTATCTTTCTAGTCCATTGTATACTCGTCGTTACTAAGACATTTGTATATACATTGATAAAATCTTCGTTTATTAGGTTGTACGACCTAATCCAGCAACTGTCTGGTTAGATTAGGTTACTCAACTCATTTCAAGCTAACTAGGGGTCCATAGTCAAGAACGGTATGCGCGATAATGGTCGTGCAGCCAACTTGTTGGGCTCCTAGACGAGGAATCTGATAGAATGATTACTTGTTGTCTTGTCGTACAATCTAATTAATTTTATACGTCAAATGATAGTTATATTACAAAAGTTAACTTTCCACACCATATTGGGTGTTGTATTGTCATTCCCTTAGTGAACCTCACATGTACGTAAATAAATACTGTTTTACGCTTACATATTTAGATAAATTTCTGATTTCATCACACATATAAATAGTTGCTAAGTGGTTGTTAGATTCTTCTAATTTTAGATCGTTCGTTGCATTTTATGCTGTAAGCGTTTTAGATGATTTCGATGTTTCCATTAAATCTGTTTTAGCTTTAAAGATATATTTATTATAGCTTTGGATACAATATGGGCAATCAGTATCTAGTTTATGAATAACTTTCTGAGTTATATTGAATATAGTTTTGAAGAAAATATGATTATTGTGGACGAATTCGTTAGTTCGTTTCGTTATTTTGTTGACTGCATTAGTGTATTCAGCAGTTTTAGATATAACAGTATCAAAATTAATAGAAGGTACACGAAAGGATCATTATTATATTTATTATCATATTATATACTAGCTACAGCTGTTGCCCGCGACTTCGTCAGCGTAGAATATGAATTTTAGAACATAACTCCTTTTTGCTTTCAATTTTCTAGTATAAAGTAGCCAATGTTACTCCTTAGTATGTACATCAGCTACCGGTCAATAAGTCTTGCAAAATCGGTCCAATCGTTCCAGAGATTAGCCAGTAGGTACAAACAAACAGACAGACAGGCAGACAGACAAAAATTGGAATTTTATTTATCAGTATATTGAATCAGATATCATTGTTTTATATAGAAAAATAATATTACATTGTTATTTTTATACCAATTTGAGTGAATTGTCAATATTGTATCCTTTAGTATACTTTCATTGTTATAGAACACATTAATTATTATTGTATAGAAATAGAATTTTAATTATAAGCAAAGATCTCTATTTGTAGTCTGTTTTAAACTTTTAATTGTGATATTATATTTATTGAAGTACAACTTAACTAGAGCTGTGAATCTGAAATGTTTTTTAATTTTAATATAATATATATAGTTTATTTATAACAAAGTTTCTTTATCTGATGTGCACGATCTGTTGCGGCATTGTTTAAATCATATTAATAAACTGATATAATAATTTATTATTTGTTTTAATTTTCTCTCGATTTGTGTTATGGGCTTGTTAAAAATGTTGAAGTACACACTCGCCCGGTGACGAATGCGCAAAGCGGTCGCGCGCAGGTATAATCTTGCCGAGTGATAAGGAAACAAGTTTACCTTTTATTTTTTATTAAATTGTATACAATGGACGATAGTAATAGTGAGGAAGATGACCTGAGTGACTCGGATTCTTTAAACAAGTATCAGCAGAAAGATGAAAAAACACAGGGAAAAAATGTTGATGTCTCAAATACTAATACAGAAGAGATAAGAAACGTGTCAAAGAGAAAAGAAAGAGAAGATGATAATTGTACTGAAGATGAATTTATTACTGTTGTTAGAAGGAAACCAAAGAGACTTATCCGTAGTGATTCTACGGAAATGCAAGATAAAACGGGGATTGATTCAAATAAAACTGATAATAGTCAATTGGAAGAAGTAAATAAATATCAACTATGTATTACGTCTATTGAAACATTACCTAAACAAATGGCACTCGCGAAACTTCTCAGATCCGAAAATATTAAAGGTATCACAAGAATTAAATATAAAAGTTTTAACAAAGTATTGATTCAATTAAGTGAAGATGAAGAAGTAGTCAAACTACTTGAGTGTCAAAAACTAAAAGATATGGGATTAAGATGTCAAAAAGTGAATGAATTGACATTATCATATGGAATAGTTAAAGGTGTAGATATCGATCTAAATGAGAAGGAATTACTAGACGTAATAGAATGCTCAACCGAGATTATTTCTATCAACCGCCTTAAGCGGATAAATACTGAAGGTAAATGGATCGACAGCGAGGTCGTAAGAATAAGTTTTAAGGGGAGTTTACCATCATATATCTACGCATATGGATGCCGTTTTAAAGTGGAGTCTTACGTATTTCCTGTGACCCAGTGTTCAGGTTGCTGGCAGTTTGGTCACATACTTAAATTCTGTCCAACCAAAAAGAAACTATGCCCTAAATGTGGAAACAACCACGAAAACTGTGACATTACAGAATTTAAATGCCTCAATTGTAAAGGACCACATTTTACGTTAGACAAAACATGCCCCCTATATTTAAAAGAAAAACAAATTCGGTTAATCATGAGCAAACAACAAATACCTTATAGAACAGCACTAAAAGTGTTTTTAGACAAACGCGAAAATATAGAAAATCCACCCCAAAATTCATACAATTATATAAATTTAAATACAACACGAGATACTCCGACTTACAGTAGCATACTGACCAGAGCAACTGTGCACCGAGATTCGGAGCCCATGGAAACAAGCCCTATGGACAGCGTAGACAAAGCATCTATGTCTAGACCAGTTGTACGGGAAAACAGAAAGTATCGGATTAATAAAAGACCAACAGAGGTGACACATTCCCTGCCGGAACAAGAACGGAACGAAGAAATTAGGACAAAGGAACGAGATAAGAATAATAAACAGGAGGAACATACAAGGTACAAATTTGAATTAAAAAAACTAATATTAAGAATTAAAAATATATACATGTCGAAAGATAATTTAGAAGTCAAAATAGTTTTATTCTGTAAAGTAATATGGGAAGAATTAATTAATATTTTTATTCCCATGTTCACAAAAAGAGATTATTTAGAAACACTTTTCACTTTTATAAATGGATAATAACGCTCATAACAATATACGCATAAATATACTGCAATGGAACTCACAAAGTATAAGCCCAAAATTGACTTCATTCAAAGAATTGTTAAATCAAAAATCTATTCATATATGTATACTTAGTGAGACTTGGTTGGATAGCGAAACCCACGTTCATATTAATGGCTATAATGTTTACAGAACGGACAGAACTGACTCATATGGAGGAGTTGCGATTATTGTACATAAGTCCATTCAGTCTTACCTAAATCCTATATTAGTTTCTAATTCAGGTATAGAAATTGTCAGCGTAAAACTAGTAAATTGTAAAGAACTAAAAAATGTAGTCAGCATTTATTGCCCGTCCTCGGTACACACACAACTTTCAGACTGGGAAGAAGTCTTTTCTGCACTACCGACTTCAACTATTATTGCCGGGGACTTTAACGGTCATCACACCAACTGGTCAGTCAAAACCGATACGCGAGGTACACAAATTATGGACGCAGCCTTAGAACACTCATTCATTTCACTTAATAACGGAATGGCTACACGTGTTAAGTTAGTTAACGGCATTTTGCAGCAGACATCACCCGATGTTTCATTTGTCTCCTCTGACATTGCGATTAAATTCGTTTGGCAGGTGTACAATGAAAATATCGGCAGTGACCATTTAATAATTCAAATGTCCATTAACATAACCAACAGTTTCGACATTGTTAAAAAGAGAAATTTTAAAAAAGCAAATTGGCAAGAATACCGGAAATTTTTAACTTATCACTTTGACTCTTATTCAGGTAATAATAACGTTCAAAACATGTATAACTTTTTCGTAGATCAAATTAATGCGGCAGCTGATAAGTATATTCCATTTATTAAATGTTGTTATAGTCCATCTAGTAAATTCAAGCCCAAGGAATACTGGAACGCAAAATTGTCTGAAATAGTGGCACAAAGGAGATTAGCTTTATCTCAATTTCGTCGTAACCCCACCCCTGAAAACTTAAGCAAACTAGAACAAAAGACAAAAGAATCCCATAAATTGATAAATAAAGCCAAATCTCTAAGCTGGAAAAGATTTTGTGATTCAATAGATCAATCCGTTAGTGCCCCTGATATGTGGCAACGTATGAGGTGGTTAAAAGGTTTCAGGCAAACGAGGAGTTATCCACCTCCAGATAAACAAACTGAATTATTGTACTCACTTTCGCCAGATTATGTAGTAAATGTTATGCCAAATTTTACATCTAAAAATGAACTATTAGAATGTAACTTCACCATGCAGGAATTAGAGCACTGCCTTAAAAAAAAAGACTCTGCACCGGGTGAGGATGGGATTTCGTACTCGATGATTTACAATTTACCAAAGGAAGCACAATTATTTTTACTTAACACTTATAATAACATTTTCAATTCTGGTACCGTCCCCAATCAATGGCGAGACATTCTAATCGTTCCAATTCCTAAACCCAGTAGTAATACTGAGGTGAAACTTCGACCAATATCCTTAATGTCCTGTTTATGTAAGACTTTTCATCTCATGCTGTTCAAACGTTTGGAATGGTATACAGAAAAGAAAAGTATTCTTTCACCACGTACTGTCGGGTTTAGGAAAGCCCAATCATGTTTGGATGCAATTACGCGCTTAGTTACATATATACAGGTAGGATTTTCTAAGAACATTCCAACTTTGTCATGTTTTTTGGATATAGAAAATGCTTACAACAACGTTTCGATAGATGTAGCTATGTGTGTGTTGGATCAATTAAATATGGGATCCAAATTTTGCGCCTACTTGTGGTCATTTTTAAGCGAAAGGCGTCTAAATATTAATATAAATAATAATACTGAAACAGCTATTACCAGATATACCAATAGGGGCTTAGCCCAAGGAGACCCATTATCCCCTTTAATTTTTAATATTATAACATCTTGTATAGGTCATATGCCTCTTAATGTGGAATTATTGCAATATGCTGATGATTACGTTTTATTCATTAGAGATAAAGATATACAAATTTGTGAAACTTACATGCAAACGGCTCTCGATTCCATAATACCTGAATTGTCTACACTTGGATTGAAATTGTCACCTAATAAATCAAATTGTTGCTTGTTTAGCAGAGGTCGTAGGAGAATAATACCTTCACTAACAATAGACGGGTACAATCTCGATGTAGCAGAATGTGTCAAATATTTAGGAATTTGGTTGGACAAAAGTCTGCGCTGGAGCAAGCATATTAATGAGCTAGTTGAAAAATGCTCAAAACATTTAAATTTATTAAAAATGTTTGCTGGTAGCTCTTTCGGTATACATACAACTCACATACGTAGATTATATATAGCGTTAATTAGAAGCAGAATGGATTATGGTTGTTATATTTATGATTGCAGTGCGAAATCACATACTCAAAAACTAGACATACTACAAAACAAAGCACTCAGATTAATAGGTGGTTTTATTAGGAGTACACCTACACACGTCATGGAAAGTGAGTTAAATATTATTCCATTGATGTTAAGAAGACTGTTTTTGGCGTATAAGTACAATTTGAAACTGGTTTCATGGACAAACAATATAACTGTTAATATGATCTCTGATTTGCGTGCGGTTTCTAATTTAAGATATTGGGAAAAAAAAAGAAAACCGCTACTAACTATAACTTTTGACAATATACAAAGAATTGATATAAATGCCGCTAGTATACTTAATATGTTTAGATTAGAAAAATGGGTCACAGGTATTGAAGTAAAGAAAAATATACGCACAAATCTTGAAAGTGTTCAATCCTCTAAAACATACTATAACCCTGATGTATTAGTTAAAAATGTAATAGTGGAATTAATTGATAAATATAATAACTGGCACAGTATATTTACCGATGGTTCTAAGAGTAAGCAGGGACTGGGAGCTGGTTTTTATGACAAAACCAGACAATTTAAAGCAGGTTTTAAAATTAATTGTGATACGCCAATAATGTCGCTGGAACTTATCGCAATAAATGAAGCCTTATCTTACGCTATGGAGCATCATTTAAATAATATTGTCATTTTTTCCGACAGTAAGAGTGCTTTACAACATGTGGCTCGGTGCGCCTCTGGACACAGAGGTGCATCGATTGCCTACCAAATTATACAATCTATTAACTGGTTTAACGAGACAGATAAACAGTTAATATTGCAGTGGGTCCCAGCGCATATTGGTCTGAAGGGAAACGAGGAGGCTGATCTTGTAGCTAAGACAGCAGTAACAGAGGGTATGATCATCAATTACTTACCAGATCACTGGGAATTAGTTCCTAGATTTAAGGAAATATGTTTCAATGAATGGAAGAAACTATACGAAACTAAATCGATGAGTAAGGGCATTTGGTATAAAACCATACAAGGTGAGCTTCCTCGAAATTCATGGTTTAGTGAAACAAGATTAAGCCGACAATACATCAAAATTATTCTCAGACTCAGATCCGGACACTATCCATCAGCAAAATTTGCTTATTTAATGAAAAAAAATAATTCACCAAACTGCACTATTTGCAACACAATAGAAGATATACAACATTTGCTGATGGAATGTGTCCGAAACAGGAATGAACGCAATTTGTTTTTACAAGAATTTAAACTTAATAGACTGGATGTAGGTCTGATACAAAGTATACTTGCACAGCCAACTTCAAAAGCGGCTAAACGATTGTACACACTGATAAAAATTGTCCAAGAGTAATCAGTAGTTATTTACTTAACGTGTTCAATTAATGTAATTAAAGTACCTACATAGATATTATATACATAAACACTTAATGTGAAACTAATTTAAGTCATGTGCTCACTTTAGAATAAGGTACGATGGGGTTGGCATATCCTTAATGGATAAAAACCCCAATACATTTATTTATATTTATGTAAATAAAGATTAAAAAAAAAAAAAAATGTTGAAGTATTATTTTATTGCTTTAAAGTGATGTAGAAAGAAAAAATCTTCTAACTTAGTATACTTGTGTTCCTATGTTCCTCAAGTTCTGATTGAGGGAAGAATATGTGGAGCAGTTATTTAGAAGAAAGAAGCAAAGCCTTAAACAAACACAAAATATCAAAAACTCAGTGGAATAGACTGACTTTAGTCTGTCTACAATTTGTTGTTTTTCAAATACGTCTGCAGAATAAACCACGGAGCAGATATAATTCCCAACTAAAGCTAAAAACTTTTTTCATCATCCAACTTTTCCAGAACTTGTACGATCTCTGTTCTTTGTTTATTTGCATTTCTCACAAAGGTTAATTAAAACGAGAAACTGAGTTTAGTCCAATTATAAAAAAGTACCATTCTTGTTTCTCCAAAAAAGATATGCAGACCATTGCTTACATTCACATTATAATAATAAGAGATTTCAGAAATAGAACATAAACCCAGAGTTAGAGATCTTACTGAGAACTGAGAAAAATCTAAATTTATGTTATAAAACTTTCGTAATATTAAATCGGCGGTGGCGGCGCGCGCGACACTGTTTGCACGCTGCCTAGGTGTTAGGTAGGTCTGTACGAATCCCGGGTCTACGCTAAAACAGTGATAGCCGATACCACGGATAGAGGAAAGTGCGCGTGAATCATGGCAGAGGGTGCGTTGGGCTCACACCGCAGAGATAGGCAGTCAGTAGCAGCGCGCCAGTCGCCGCCTCATGAGCCTCTAGCATGGCTTGAAACTAACAATCAATTATGTGAGTAAGACGAAAACATAATAATTAGATCAAAATTTCAATTAGGTGCACTTGACTAAACGGAGTTTAAACCGGAGTAATATGCTCACACTATCCATCATCAGTCATTGGCCATCAGTCGAGAAAAATTATCTGATTCTAAAAGTACTTTATTATAAAAGTGAGTTTGAACCAGAAATACAATAAAGTGATGATACCATAAAGAAGAAGTTGACGCGCAAAAGCTTCGAAATTTCGGTAAATATTTGTAACCCTATCGCCTAGCCCTGGCAGTTGTTGGCAAATGTCAACACACCCACGTAACGATACAAGAAAATTGGGCAGTGATATTGCGCACATATGTACGTCACAACTTTGATTTTTAGGTACAGATTTAGTTATCTCTGCATGTTTTTAGTGTGAATATGTGTTTTTATCAAAATATCCACGTAATTAACTCGTCAAGTACCGTCATTATAGACACAATTATAGAACAATAGGTTGCGGTCACCGGTGACCGCTTGGTGTTTGACAGTTTAAAAGAGAATACCTCTTTCTTTTTACTTGCTTTAACCCATAACAACTTTAAACAT